AAATACATAAAGTCTGAGAAACTATCATAGTCATAATGAGGGAATGTATCAATTTCTCTTCCCGGGTCCACAAGGCACGTGGTTTCAAAGGCAAGAACTTCCCAGTGACTTGCCTGACCTGCCTTAAAGACGTCTCCATCCCAGAGCCTAGAGTTCTTTGTCTAACTTTCCTGCGCAGGAAAGGTAAACTGCCCAGGTGAGCTCCCTTTCTTTAGAAAGCCCCCAAAAAGCTATGGGAGGATTGTGGGCCAGGCAACCAATCCGATGTCAAAGTCAAAGATCAATCACTCCACTGGAAGTTTGAAGGAACTCCTCTCATGGGACAAGAACTTGAGTGCTGCGGGAGTAACTCCAAATTAAAAGACCCCCTGCCCTTCACCTGTGTGGACTCCATCTCTGGATCCCCTCCCACAACAGTGTGAGAGTCCTCTCCCTCTCTCTCTCTCTCCCTCCCTACTTCTTTCTTTCTCTCTCTCTGCCTAATAAATTGCTTTTCTGCAAAACTCTTTGGGTCCGTTACTTACTTGAACAAGCCCACTGCACCTGTGGGGCCTCTTCACCCATTCCTCAGGTAGGGGGGCCAAGAGCCTGGAACACCCAGTTACAATAAAGAATAAATGTAATGTGGGCATATAGATAAGGTCTTGGAAGAGAAAAGGTATGTTAGGTAAAAAATAATAAAACATGAATGAAATCTGGATCCTAGTTAATAACCATGTATCACTATTGGTTCCTTAATTCTCACAAGTGTCATACTAATATAAAATATTAACAATAGAGAAAACTGGGCAAGGAGTATATAGGAACTCTCTGTACTAATTTAAAATTATTCTAAACAGTTTATTCTTAAAAATACATGTAACATAATTTATCATACATTAAAATAATCCACAAATAAAGCTCAGCTATGGTTACTCAGAAAAGGCATGAAAAGAAGTAGTTAGATATTATCAATAACTGTTAGAAAAAATTAGTCAGTAGAAACTACACTCAAATATGACACATATAAAGAAACTAGACGATAAAGACTCTGGCTATATCTTCAACATAGTCACGAACTTAAAGAAAAACATAAGCTAGATGAGAACAAAAGGAAAAAATGCAAAAGAATACTGAATGGAACTTCTAGAGATGAGAAATACAGTATCTGAAAATAAAAATTTACTGGATGGGAGTCACAGCAGATTAGACCTAGAAGAAAGCCTCAATCTTCTTATTTATATAACAATGAAACGAATATCTACCTTGCAGTGTTACTGTAAGGAAAAAGGGTAATTTAATTGAAAGCACTTAAGAAGTAATTAGTCCATGATATAAAAAAAGAGAAAACCTCCATCTCTTTCTGTTCTGTGCCCTATTCATCCAACAAATATTTATTGAGCAGCTACTCTGTATCAACCACAATTGCAGGATATAAAAGAATTAATAAAATACACATAGTCCCTACACTCATAGAGCTCACAATCTTGTAAAAGACAAAAACAAATAAATACACAAATAAATGTTGTACATGACATCTTTTGTTTTAAACTGCACCATGCATTGTTAGCTGCCTACCTAAGATCCACTTTCCTCATTCTTGGAAATCAGTACACTAAGTTTCTTCAGGAAAGGAATGTGCTCACCTAATAAAACACTTTCCCAGTGATATGGTTTGGATTTGTGTCCCCACCCAAATCTCATGTCTGAACAGTAATCCCCAATGTTGGACAGGGAGCCTGGTGAGAGGTGAGTGAATCATGAGGGCGGACTTCCTCCTTTCCTTTCTTGTGACAGTTCTCATAAGATCTGGTTGTTTAAAAGTGTGTAGCACTTCCTCCGTCTCTCTCTCTTCCCCCTGCTCCAACCATGTAGGATGTGACTGCTTCCCCTTTGCCTTCTGCCATGTTTGTAAGTTTCCAGGGGCCTCCCAAGCCATGCTTCCTATATAGCCTGGAGAATGGTGGCTCAATTAAACTTGTTTACTTTATAAATTACTCAGTCTTACGTCATTCTTTATGGTAATGCAGGAATGACTAATACAGAAAATTGGAACTGGGAAGAGGTGCACTGCTATAAAGATACCTGAAAATGTGGAAGCAGCTTTGGAATCAGGTGTTAGGGAGAGGATGGGACAGTTTGGAGGACTCAAAGGAAGACAGGCAGATGAAGGAAAGTTTGGAACTTCCTAGAAACTTGTGAATTGTTGTGACCAAATGCTGACAGTGATACAGCTGAGATGGTCTCAGACAGAGATGAAGAACTTATTGAAAACCAGAGTAAACGTCACTCATATTATGCTTTAGCACAGAGACTGGCAACATTGTGGCCCTGCTCTAGAAATCTGTGGAAAGCTGAACTTGAGAAAGATGATTTAGGGTATTTGGTGAAAGAAATTTCTAAGCAGCAAAGCATTCAAGATGTGGTCTGGCTGCTTCTAACAGCATATGCTCAAATCTATGAGCAAAGAGATATACTTAAAAGGGAAGCAGAGCATAAAAGCTTGGAAAATATGCAGCTTTGCCACGTAGTAGAAAAGAAAAATCCATTTTCAGGGAGGAACTCAAGCTAGCTGTAAAAATTTGCTAAGTAAAGACGAATTGTATGTTAATAGCCAAGACAATGGAGAAAAGGCCTGGAAGGCATTTCAGAGACCTCCATACCAGCCCCTCTCACCACAGGCCTGGAAGCCTAGGAGAGAAAAGGGGATTCATGGGTCCAGGGCCCCACCGCTCCGGACAACCTCTTACTATGAATAATAGTAAGACCCTGTAAAGGAAGGATAAACTGAAGAGAGTATCTTTCAGTTCTGTCATGGTAAAATAAAAGAATAAATGCTACCAGACCATAAGCCCAGTGGGGTACAGAAAGAGAACAAGGATAATATATAAACATATTCCAGTCGAATCTTCTTTACGGATTCTTTGTTTCTACATTATCACAGTTGATTTTTTACATATCAACTTCTCAAGAGACATTCATTTCACTGACTTCAACTACTGAGTCACACCTACTCCAGTCCTCAACCTTGCACATTTCCTTTAAATAATGGGCTGCCTCATTTCAGACGTTATTGGTGGGAACCGATATTAGTATCACCTTTTCAGGGCATAATTTAGCAGTCCTTACTAAAAAAAAAAAAAAAAAAAAAAAAAAAGACTACATTTTGACCTAATAATTTCACTTGTTTGACTTTACTCTGCAGAAACATTCCGGAATGTTCAATGATAACCTGCAAAAGGAATTTCAATTAAGCTACTACTGTCTATAACAAAACTGAAAAGAACCTAAATGCACATTGGTAGATGCAAAATAATGTGTTGCCATTTAAAATATATATCTACATGTAAAATAAAGACGTCCCCAACATATTGTTAGGCAAGAAAAGAAAAAATTCAGAATTAGATATTATATAATTTTGTTAAAAAAAAGTATATGCATATATCATACATAAATGTATACAGGCAGTGTATTTAAGATGCGTGCAGGAAACACTGTAAGTTTTCACTATGTATATTTCTTTATCATCATTATTATTATTCTACAACCAGCATGTATTGTTTTAGTAGTTTAAGAAGGCAGGTCATGTCTCAATTGTCATATATCCGGGATTAAAAAAGAAAAAATCCAACATCCAACATCTTTCCATTAGTTCATTCTCAAAATAAGAAAAAAAAAATTTATACAGTAAGTAACACGTTGCAGTCTAGGATTAGCGAAAATGCTAGTTTCGCTGATTGGATCTTTTTTTAGTAAACTAGGGCAGGAAAATGAGGACACAGAAACCAACTAAGACGGAGTTGGGGCAGTGAAGCTGTTCGGCGGCGCGCGGCCGGGCAGCCCAGGGACCCGCGCAAGGATGACTCGGAGGGCGAAGGGGCCCCGAGCGGGAGACGAAGGGCACCAGCTCCTGACGCAGGCGCGGTTGGAAAGAAACTGGGGACTGGGTGTGCGCAAACGGTGTCAGAGGCGAGCGATTAAGGGGGCGGGAGCGCTGTACGGGTCTAGGGAACCAGTAGGAAGCCGGAGGCGAGGCTGGCGGTTACAGCGTAGCCGGCAGAGCAGGGTCAGCCCGGGGCGCCGGCGAGTGCGCAGGCACGCGGGCAAAGAGCCCGGGACGCGCGCCGTGGGGGCCTGCGGGGCCCGCCCGAGGCCGAGGCCGAGGCCGAGCTCCCGCTCCGCGCCCGGGGCCGGCGCCCACTGCCAGTACCTTCCCAGGAGAGCTCTCCTCCTGGTTCCCGCTTCAGGAACTTGTACCAGAACGTGTCCACGCGTCCCGGCTCCGCCCCGTCCTGCGCCGCCTCCTCGGCCGCCAGCTCCACCTCCCCGAGCCAAAGGCCCGGCTCCTGCAGCGCCAGCGACCCGGCGCCCGCCGCGGTGCCCGCGGGCCTCATGAGCACGGCTCCTCCCGGCTCCCAGCGCCCCAGCTCGGGCCGCGACCCCACCACCAGCAGCTCTGGCCGTGCGCCAGCCACAGCGGGCGGCACCACCACCCCGAAGCGGAAGCGCATGGCGGGCGGCTTGCGGCGCGAATCCCCGGGCCCGAGGTCCCAGCGGCCGGCAGGCGCTGCCTGAGCGGGAGGCGGCCGCGGCGATTGGGCGGCGGCGCGGGAGGCCCGGCACAGCCGGGAACACGTGTTGTTCTGCGCCTTCTTTGGGCTGCATCACGCGGCCCCCGAGCTCAGGCCGCGTCCAGGCCGGCGGGAAGGGGTCCCGCAGCCGCCAGCCGCCTCTTTCTGCAGCGCAGCCCCGCGGGCGGCTGATTTCCACTTGTGGGCGCTGGGGAAGCGGCTAGCGGAAGAAAAGGAAGAGAAAACGGGATTTAGGAAGGGAGGAAAACTTCTAAGGCAGGCGGTCGTCCATTCCTCTTTCCAACAGACTGGAAATTAACTTTACGAGGATTATGAGGAAGGAAATGGCCTCCAGACAGCGGCCTCCTGATTGTGAAACGGGGGAAGATCTTGGACCCGGTCTCTGGAGCGCTCCATGTCCTAACCAAGTCACTTACTCTCATGGGTCTCAGGTTCTTTATCTGTAAAATGAGGGTATAAAATAATCTTTCCAAACCCTGCCGGCTCTAAAGAATATCTGATTGGTGGAGATAACTCAAGACCCAGAGCTGATGCAAAACATTACATACCATTCCCGTCTGAAAAGCCACATGATCACCTTGTTTTTTCAAAAACTATTATATTTTTAGTATGTGTAAAGTAAGTTTGGAGTAATACTTTCAAGTCCTTTTCAAGGTCAAAACAAAAACTAATTCTGTGACTATAAATGTATGCATTTTTTAATGGAGTAATTATTTTTTTAAGCCCTTTGTTTAAAATTTACTGTCAGTAAGCCACCACTTGTTTTTCAGCTTAAAACCTTTTTAGGTCAAGAAACAGAGGTTTTTTAGCTGTCTGGCCAAAACCCAAAATACGTCTATCTTGGTCGGGAAACTTCAGCTTGTCACTGCCATAAGACAAATGTCCTGATACTTTTATGTACTTTAACAAAGTTATCCTTGTATTCTTATGTTTATATATTCACTAACATTTAATATAACACGAATCCATTATGTGAATTAAAGACACGGGCATTTTTACTAGTATTTGGAATTTTGTGAATAGCAAGGGGGGAAAAATGGCCAAAGTTTCATGCGTTGAGAATATCATAAGTAAAACAGAAAGTGAAAAAAATGTAAACTACACAAACACAATCTCTTCTGGAACACTTAGAAAACTTATAATACAGTTCACTCTTGAATATTGACATTCCACTCAAAGTTTGGTTGGTTGCTAAGCTTAAGGATAAACACTATGAACAATGTGAAGACAGAAAGGCTGGCCAAACACAACTGATTCAGTAGCAAATCAGACATTAAATCACAGTGGCATGTGAGCCGGTTTATGCAAATTGCTGTTACAAGATATTCTTAGAGTAAGTTTAGGAAAGTGAGAGTCATTTGGCGATGCAAAGAGGATTTTCTCTGCAGTGGAATACAGACTCTAGTGAAAGTTCTTACTCCTTCAGGACCTGGGAGCTGACAGCTCCAGACTTGATTGTGCTCCACTGTGCTGCCTATATGTTGTGTGCCTCCCAGATGGAGTTATTCCCACCAGCTCTTCCAGAGTGAGTTCTGCCCATTCTGTAGACAAAACAATAGCAGAAAAATTAAACAATATGTTTGTTCAACAGACACTGTTTACATCTCTCTCATCATAAAGACGTTGAATAATTTTAACCATTGGAAGAAGTAACTCTCTTAAAAGCCCCTAAACAAAATACATAATAGCTTATTTTGTGGCAAGGATTTAAATAAGGTATAAATTGGATGGCTGCTCTGTGTGGTAAGTAAAATGCAACTGGAAAGGAGAACAAGACCAAAATAGGGCTTAAAGGACATATTTCAAACTTTGATCATATTTTGATGGCCAATCATTTGGGTATACAAATATTAACCATGATAATATCCATTGAGCCTATAGTATGTGCCAGGCACGTGGTTTTTGTACTCATATTATCTTATTTAATTCTCTCACCAATCCTATAAGGTAACTGCAATCGTTATCCCCATTTTAGATGTGAGGATACTCCAGCACAAAAGGGTCCAATAAACAGTCTAAAACAAGGAAGGGGCAGAGCCAGGGGCTAAAAGGCATGCATTCATCTTATAGATATAGATGCAGATATAGTTTCTGATAAGGAAAATCTGTTACAGAATGCATCTAAATTCTAGCATATTTAAATGTTATTCTCCATCAGCTCTTAATTTTAAAAAATTAAATTCCAGTGATTATTTATTGTAACTAACTTCATCTTTAGAAATTATGAACAGATGAATCATGAGTGGCAGTCTAAACAGATCAATGAATCTGTAAAGACACAAATATTTTAGCATTTGAAGAGAATTCGGCTGCACATTCTAGGAAATTATAATTTTTATGCCTTTTTATACCTATGTGTTGGGAATGGAAACACAGATTTAAGAAGCCAAGGTGAAGAATTTTACCAGTTTTTAAATTGTGTTAGTTTTAGATCTTTTCCCTTGTTGGGTCCTCCATATGAGATTTCTGTTTACATTTCAAAGAATCATGGTATTTATTAAAACATTACTTATGAAATCCATTTGAGGTCAGATTCTTGATGATATGGGGACAAGCTAAATTTAGAGCAAGAATCAGTCCAATAGAGTAACATAATTCTGATAATAATTTTTAAAAGACCAAACCAATTTGTTGTCATTGAATTTCATTTTTATAATGCTATCTTACATGTAACTATAAACTTTCCTGAGAAATGGGTGATAAATTCAAACGTAGAGTTTCAGCATCCAATTCAAATGTAGATTCTTTTGAAGCCCCCTCAGGGAAAGCCATTAGTTCAATCTTAAGTGATTTATGATTTCTGAAGCAATCTTTCACTAGTCGGCAAGTTATAAATCGTTCCTTGTAGTAGTGTATATGTATATACACACTCACTGATGAAAACCATATTTTATCCACATAGTTCAAGGACTGTTATAAGCATTGGTTTACTACTCAATATAACATATCTAAAAGTTAAATATGTCACATATACTATTTTCAATTTTGTAGCATTAAAAAAAAGAAAAAAAGAAACTCTTTCAGAGAAAGTTTGAATACAGCTTAAAAACTGCAGCTAGCTTTTTTCTGGATTAAAAAAGTATAGCTTAGGCTGCTTTATAAGTTGGGGTTCCCATGGGTTAGAAACTCCTTTGGGAATCTAGAAGAACAGAATATAAACTAATCCAAGGCTTTGCCCGAAATTCCCACAACATTCCTCAACTATTGTAAAAATTCATGTCTTTTTTTGATGCATATAAAAATCCCTTTGTCTCCAGAAGATTCCAACAATTCCACTTCCCACCCATCCCACCGTAGAGAAGTTTTTGTATCTTCAGTGTATTGCCACCAGCCTGTTTTGTCATTCTTCTTTCTTTGCAATTTATATTGTTAAAATATTAACTTTTAGGAATGCTCCAAGCATGAAATTACAGTGAAGCCCATGCCCTTCCAAAAGACATTGACCTGCCCTTTTCCTCACACACCCTCCATCATAGTAAAATTTATACCTCCTCCCCCTCACTTCTCCAAAAACCTCTACTCAACAGGTTATTCAAGCCTATGTTTTGCTAGGCAATGACCTAAAATGACTTTGCCTGGGGAAAGTAGAGTGCCAAGCCAGGTGGCTGGACCCCAAGGTTAGAGACACTGGTTTAGAGCTTCCTTCAACTGTAAAAAGATCCTCCTAGGTCTGAGTAACTTGAACAGCAGGCTGGTTAACCCCCTTTCCAAAGACAGTGGAGAACTTGATAACTCAACCCTTAGGAATAAAAGAATGGTGGCTGGAAGGGATGATTTGAAACTCCCAAGGGAACATTGAAAGAGTTTAAGAAAAAGGAAAGAGACTAGCTGAAAGCAGAGCTTACTCATTTACGCTTAAATAGAGAATGGAGACTGTTGGTGGGGGCAAACCTGACAAGTACTTTTTAAGAACTTGAACTCTGTGATTCACTCTTTGCTTAGTTTTCCTAACCACTGCATGTATGTTATATTAAAAGTATTTTAAATATGAAACTGGGCTGCAGGCAGAAGGTAAGTTTGAAACATTCTTTTACTTCACCATCAGCTGAAAGAAGAGAACCCAGGTAAAATGTGGTAGTAACTGAGGAGCCTTGGGTGAAATCCTTTTGACCTACAGTGTAAGAGATAGTGTACACCAGGAGTTGAGTAATGACCCTGGGCTTCTTCCAAATCTCTAGTTCTTATTAGAAATTCATGGATTCCCTGGAAATGTAAAAATAGTGTAGGGGGAGATAGTGTACCCATATTTACCTAGTGAAAACAGCTATTTATTCAGATATGTACACTTGTCCAAGCATGCACTAGAACCTAATTAAAATATAATTCTCTAAAATGACTCTCATGCATGCAAATTAATGGGAGAACCAGCAGGATGGTTAAAGCTGACTCAAAGAGAATTTAAGATACAATGTATGTAGGCACTGAAAGAATGCTAGACAATTACTAGGTTAGATACAAAATTGATTAATTTCCTACTGGGCAATTAAACTGTAACATTTGGATTTATCTCTTCTACCAGATAGGACTCCCTTGCACCTTTAACAGATAAACACCTACAGGATTTTATATGTAACTTTGGGGGCTGGCCTCAATCAATAGTAAATAGTAAAATACACCAAGGCACAAATAATCTTATAAAGAATGACATAATTCTGCAGTGATCCTGATGCAGTCTCCAGAATGCAGGACATGCAGTCAACCTGGCACCTTAAGGCTAAGCTCAGATACTTTTTTAAACAATGTGTAACAATAATAATAACTTTCCATGTACTGAGCTTTCATCTAACAAGTGCTAGGCACTGGGCAATCTCACCTCCTTTATCTTATTTAATCCTCTCAACATTTCTCTATGTTAGAAGGTTGGGTCTCATCACACATATCAAAGGATTTGCAACCAGAATTTGGGAAAGGCAAAAAACAAGAAGGGAATGAAGTTAGGAGGAAGCTGTATTCCAAGTCTAGGTACCTGCATCAACAAAAGCAGAGGCAGAAAATCTCAAAAGTATGTAATTTTGGAGTAAAAACGAAGAATGCAGATCTTTAAAATTGTTATTGCAAGTTAATTATGTGGCAAACATACATTTTGGCTTACTCAAATACATTTTAAACTATGTGCTTTACATGTTTCACATATCACTGTTTGTGACAAAGACAATGGGCAAAAAGACAAAGATGTTATAGTAGTTCTATGAAGAAGAATAGAAAAGAGGGAAATAATGTCTTGGGTGTTTAATGTCCAGAAACAGAATATCAAACTTATTAAAATCAAGAGATAGGCCAGGCACAGTGGCTTACACCTGTAATCCTAACACTTTGGGAGGCCAAGTGGGTGAATTACAAGGTCAGGAGTTTGAGATCAGCCTGGCCAATATGGTGACATCCACTCTCCACTAAAAATACAAAAATTAGCCAAGCATGATGCCACGTTCCTATAGCCCCAGCTACTTGGGAGGCTGAGGCAGAAGAATTGCTTGAACCCAGGAGGCGGAGCTTTCAGTGAGCCAAGATCATGCCACTGCACACCAACCAGGGCAACAGAACTAGACTCTGTCTCAAAAAAAAAAAAAAAAAAAAGAGATGAACCATTTCATACACCTCAGTCTAATATGAAAACATGAGTTCCATTATACTATGTCACAACCACAGAAATCAGCACCTTGTAAATTGTTATAATCTATTTGCTATTACCTTCTGGAATGAGTATGTAAGTACATACAGCTACATGTTTACCAGGCAAACAATCTCAATCATTGCAAAGCTAATATGCATTTAAAAATCTCATTCAGTTATCAAATCTTCACTGTATTAGGTTAGATACATGAGATGGCTTTTTATAAGTAAATGTCTTTGGGATGCAACAACATTCTTTTTAGAAATTGTGATTTATTATTACTGAGGAAAACATTGATTTCCCAGAATCTTTTATTTTTGGTAAATGTCAAGCTCTGACTATACTGCAGTGACTACATTGCAGGGCCACTAAATTCACCTGAAAAATAGTTGTGATTTAGCTAAGTTTGCATGTCCAAGGTGGAGTAGCAATCAATTCCATGATTTAATTCTGAAATTCTTCTGTAAAATAAATGGAAACATAATTGATTTTACCAGATCGATATTATTAATATGTGGGGGTTCAGTCAGGGTGGTAGGAAGAGGTGTAAGAGAATTTATAAAGGAAGTTATAGAAAATAGTCACATACCTTCTTGGAAGGCTGGAAGGTTTTTCAAAAGCTTCAGGATAAGTTATGTCTGAAGGCAACCCAATTCTCTTTGAGTTAATAGCAGGAGTAAATAACAAAGGAATGTAAGGGAGTTTATCTAAATAACTTGTTTACTCATGTGGTCCTAAAACTAACCTTTAATCATTCATAAGCTGGATGACTCTCTTGTGGGGAGGGCAACCAGGTTTATTACCCACAAATGGTGTTTGCTTTAGGCCTTGGAACCTGGCCTTTAGTCATTACCCTTGAGTGGTGTTGACTCAAAGCCTTTGTCATTTAATGTGTGCTAACTAAAGGCTGGCAAGGGCAGTGAGTGAGCAGCCGTGGCTGCTAACTCTGTCTGCAGTGTCTGTGGCCATGGACCCCTAGTCTGCTCTTTCACTGAATATTGGTGTTGGAGTGCATTTGTTCATCCGTCGCTGGGTCAGTGTCGCAGGTCGGACCCCAACATTGATATTTAGTCAATCTAATATAATTAGATGTACCGCATCATTCTGGGATATAAAATTTAAAGAGAAAACTATTGAATTAAGAACTGCAGATTTTAAAGAGCACAAAGATCTTCTGTGCTCCATCCTCTTTAATAATGTACAAGAAAACTGAGGCTATTTTGTAAGTTAATCACTTGTTTTTGTCTATAAATTTTGATTCTTAAAATATGAAGGATTGTCAGAGAGATATGTTTCCCCTTGTTTCCATTCTCTTCATTCTTACTCCTTTCCTTGAAAGACTATGAATCACTCTCAAGTGTCCATGATACATGCACCAGTAATACACAATCCATGACAGAGAAGAATAATTTGATCCAAGAAAAGATGTCAGTGATATTTTGGTTTTGCAAACAATATAATCATAGAACTTTTTCATAATATTCTCTACCACTCTTCAAACACAATGGTTGCAAGCATAATCAGTATTTTTAACCCCACTCTCCTCATTGGGATATTCCAAGAAGTAACATCATCCTGGGATACTATTCAAGAGCAGTCTTAAAACTTTTAAGAGCAGGGGAATTTATTATGCTACCTTCTTTCCAAGTCACCCCTATCCAAAAACAGAAGAGCATCTTTAGCATTTTTCTCTAAGGTACAAACCATGTTCCATGTGCTCAGTATGTGGGCCATCCTCAGTACATGTTTTTTTTACCTTCTAGGTGGCCAATCCCCACTCTAGTAGTAGGTAGGGATCTAGCAGTAGGTAGGGATTGATCCTGAAGCTGCCCTTTACCTATTCACCCTTTACCTATTCACTCCTTATCTATTTATCAGGGGAGAGCTAGCACGTACTCACTCACTTGAAAGGAATCTTTCCTCCCACCTACCAAAGAGCAAATCATTCCCTACCACATTCTCTTTCTCTATATGCCAAGCAACTTTTTTGAAAAAGGCTGAAACACTAGATGTATCAGTCAGGATTAAGTTATACTTCAGCAGCAATGTCCCCAAAATATCCATGACTTAACAATCACAAGAGTTTTATGTCTCAATCATATCACATGTCCATCTTGGGCTGGCTGTGTCCCAGCCTTATATTGTATTCACTCCACAGCTTTGGTGAATAGGATAGAAACCTCTAGCTAGAATATAGTGGGTCACTGGGACAGATGAAAAAGAAAAAAAAAAGTGGCTCTTAAAGATTTTGGTTTGAAGTGATGCAAGGCAATTATACTCATATTACATTGTTAAAGCAAGTCACATGGCCAAGTTGTTATTCAATTATTCAGGAAAATATAAGGCTATTTCTGAAAAGGGCAGCAAATATTTGTGAATTGTAATACTGTCATCCATACCAGGGAACCAAAAACAATAGGAAGCAGTTTCAGATTCAAAAAAAGTATTCCAAATGGAATCTACCTTTCTCAAGGAGAAAGTAGGGGAAGAGCCTGAACATACATGTTAGTGACCAGAGAAATGCTAAATGTAGAGTGGTGAGATGTACCCTTTTTAAAGCAAGCAATTTGCTAACCAGCCTTAAACTTGTTGTAGATCAATAAATAGAAAAATAGATGGATAAATGCTAGGTGGATAAATAGCTAGGTAGACAAACAGATGAATAGATGGATAGATGATGGAGAGATAGATGATAGATGATAAACACTCTAGAAAACTCATACTAAATTAAAGATAAAGTATAAACTCACTCTACATGTTATTTTAAATTAAAGTTGTTTATTTTATTTTTTAACTATAAATTCACAGGCATATGCTCTTAAGTTCATAGTTTGAAAACATAAGTTTTGATATAAAAGTTATTTTATTATCTACTAGAGTTGAACATGTAAATGTAGAGTTTTCTATCATTTTGGAATAACTTTTTGCATTTCTCTAGAATCTACTTAGATGCAAATTTACAATAAAATTTTTATCATGCTACCATTTTCCAGTGTTTATATTTCCATTTTGAACCATTTGAGTAATGTCATTCAGTTACTTGATTTGACATGGGTATAGATTCATAAAGTTCAGAAATATAAGTTAATTTATCTAAACTTTTGTCCAATTTTATCCTTTGAAAACTCTGGCTAAATTCTTATCTTCTAGAGGATATAGAATTTTAACATTTTTATGTTTATGAAATATACACAAAAACGAAAGTAGGAATCTTAATAATTGAGTTTCTCTTTTAGGTGGCCACTATATTGCTTCTGAGTCTCTGGAGACAATGAGAGGTGAGATCATAGGACATTCTTTAGCTCTAGTCTGAAAATGGTAGATAGAAAGGAGAATTTTTGTTCCTCTATTCCTTTGGAAAAAGCACAGAACTATTTCAACGTGATTAATTGTGGTAAGGCACAAATGTGGAATTCAATCTGGTCCTAATTTTTCTTTAAAGCAATATATCTGTATATACACACAGAAATTGAAATGATAAATGAATTCAGCAAATTTGTAGGATACAAAATAAATCATATTTCAAATACACTAAAAATAATATAACCAAAGTGTAGGACTTACATACTAAAAACAAAAAAAGAGTAATTGAAATATTATTGAAAAATTAAAGAAAACCTAAATAAATGAAAAGATATCCCATATTCAAAGAATGGAAGACTTACTATTAATAAGATTTAGGCAATACACCTGAAATTATTTGACAGATTTAACACAGAACTCCAACTGCCTATTTGCAGAAATGGACAACCAGATCTTAAAATTCACGTGGAAATTCAAGGGGCCCAGAGTCGCCAAAATAATCTTGGTTAAGAGCAACAAAGTTGCAGGGCGTATGTCTCCCAATTTCAAAACTTAATACAAAGTTACAGTAATCAGGATGTGTGGTACTGGAATAAAGATAGACAAATGGACCAATAGAATTGAGAGTCCAAAAATCAACCCACACATTTATTGTTAATTGAGTTTTGACGAAGGTGCCAAGATTGTTCTATGGGGAAATAATGCTTTAACCGCTTCAACTGGTTCATTCAACGCATGGTGCTGGGACAACTGGATGTCCATGTGCAAAAGAATAAAGTTGGATTCCCACTTCATATCATTCACAAAAATTAACTCAAAATAGATCAGAGACCTAACTGTAAGATAAAACTATAAAACCCTCAGTCAGAAAATAGCTGTAAATCTGCATGATCTTGGATTAGGCATGGTTTCTTTTAGCTATGATACCAAAAACATAAGCAACAAAATTAAAAACAAATAAGTTCAACTTCATCAAAATTTTAAAAGGACACTATCAAGAAAGTAAGAAGACAACCCACAGAATGAGAGAAAATGTTTGCCAATCATATATATTTGATAAGAGTCTACTATCCAGAAAATGTAGAGGACTCTTACAACTCAACAATAAAAAGAAAATCTGATTAAAATGCAGGCAAATGATTTGAATAGATATTTCTCCAAAAAAAAAAAAAATGCAATGGCCATTTAACACATGGAAAGATGCTCAGCATCATTAATCCTTAGGAAAATGCATACCAAAACCACAGTGAGATACCATTTAACAACCACTAGAATGGCTATAATTTCCTTAAAAGGAAAATAAGAAGTATTGGTGAGAATGTGGATAAATTGAAACTCTCATACACTGCTGATAGGAGCATAAATGATGCCACTGTATGACAAGAGTCTGGAAGTTTCTTACAAAGTTAAACACAAAATTACCACATGACCCAGCAATTCCACTCATAGCTAAATACCCAAGAGAATTGAAAAGAAATGTTCTCACAAAAACTCTCACATGAAAGTTCATAACAGGATTATTTATAGTAGCCCAAAGTGGAAAAAACCCAAATGTCTGTCAATGATGAATAGACAAACAAAATGTGATATATCCATTTAATTAAAGAAAATATTCAGCCATAAAAAGGAATGAGGTATGTTACATGCTGCAACATGAATGAAATTTAAAAACATTACGGTAAGTGAAAGAAACCAGACACAGAAAGCCACATAGTGTATTATTACATTTATATGAAGTTTCCAGAATAGGCAAATACATGCAGAAAGTTGATTTGAGGGTTTCCAGAAGATTAGAGAAGAGAGAAATTGTGACTGATCATGCATATATGTATAGAATTTCTTTTTGGAATAATGGAAATGTTCTGAAATTAGATTGTGGTGATTCTTGTGCAACATAGTGAATGCATTAAAAAACTGAATTGCACACTTTAAAAATTTAAGTTCTCTGTTATGTGAATTATACTTCAACAAAAAAATAAAGTAGTACATTTTTATAGAAGTGTTTGATTATTTTCCTCTATCATTGACAAAGTTATTTGATATTACAAGGTCCCACAAATCATAGCCTTTACCTATTTAAATCATTTTGATTCTCAATGTAGAGGGAAGAGAGACACAATTAGGTTGTCTCAGCTACTAGAGCTTTATGTGAAACAGAGACAACCAGGCCTCACAAAGAACCAAAATATTGGTTAAAATACAACAATTGTTTTATTAGATCTGAAAGTGGTTCTGGTGTCTCCACAACTTGAATTATTTTCTTCTGAGAAACTGGACACCTTTGATCTACCCTCTGGTGTTCTGCCTTTAAGTATGACTCAGCTATTTTCTCTTTTGCCTTCTATTGCTCTTGCTATGCATAACTTTCTTTTGAATATCTCTCAATCAGATTCCTGCAGAATAAGTATGCAATTGGCTCACCCGACATATCCAATGAGATTATCCTTGATTGGCAGAAAACTTGTTCCACACTTCCTACTAGAACACAGGCTACTCTACAGATACCAGCTATATTCCAGGAAAAGATTGCAGGATCATACAGTATAAAGTAAGGAGAACTCTATGTGTTTCTACTCAACATAAATAATCTGATATTTTCATGAGGAGACATCAGTCAAGCCCAAATTGAGAGATATAATTAATAAATCTATGCTCTGCAGAAATGGCAGACCACCAGAGACAAACCAAGGCTGAGGGATGCAGCTTGGTGAAGACAAAAAAGACATGACAACTAAGTAAGATTTATGATTCCAAATTGGATCCCAAGCCAGAAAAAAAAAAAACGCCATATTGGGCCTACCAGTGAAAATGTAAAAGAACTACAGATTCGATAATACTGTTGTATCAATGTTAAGTTTCCTAATTTTGATGATTGCACAAAGGTCATATAAGAGTGTGCCCTTTTTCTATTAGGAAATGCACTGTGATGGTTAATATTGAATGTCAACTTGATTGGACTGAAGAATGCAAAGTATTCTTCCTGGGTGTGTCTGTGAGGGTGTTGTCAAAAGAGATTAACGTTTGATTCTGTGGACTGAGAGAGGCAGACCCACCCTCAGTCTGGATGGGCACCATCTAATCAGCTGCCAGCGAGGCTACGACAAAAGCAGAGAGAGGAATGTGGAAGGACTAAACTTGCTGAGTCTTCTGGCCTTCATCTTTCTCCCGTGCTGGATACTTCCTGTCCTCAAACATTGGACTCCAAGTTCTT